TTTGGTAACCGTCTCCCGTCTTCAGCCCCGAACCATAGGACCCTCAAGTCCTATTATTGGAAAAAATGTTTTTTCGAAAAAAGTCTGATTCTGCATTAAAAAAAAATTTCGAAAACAAATTTTTTTTTCAAAAATAGGACTTGAGGACCCTATGGTTCGAGGCTGGAGACAGGTGACGGTTAGCAAATCGTTACCAGTTTCCTGGGAACGTGACAGCAACTTTCCACCGCTATCCACACTCATTGAGTTCCCAATGAGTTTTCGACTCCAGGGGACTTAGCCAGTTCTCTTATTATCAAGTGGATTAAATAATAATAATAATAATAATACAGTTCAAGGTGAATTTACATTACCAACTGCCCCTTCAATAACAGTTACTATTCAACCACAAAATAATTTAAATGATATTATTGAAAAATAAACATCATTAGTTGATGATCAATTATATTCACCTGATCATATATATTATATTAATAAAAAATATATTAGTATTGATCAATTATTAAAAGATACATCAACAATAGTTAATTATTTTATGGATTTATTAAAACCAAGTGATAATAAATTAGCTATGAAATTATTTGGTAGTAGAAACGGTGTACTTAAAGAACGTTTAAGACAACAAAGATCTGGTCATTGTATTATACATCCATGTTCTAATTTTCGGTTATTTTTATTTTTATTTTAATTAAATTTTTTTTTATTAATTATTTTTTTTTTTAATAGTTTTTATTGGGATTTAGTTATGTTAATATTATTAATAACAAATGTTATTGTATTACCAGTAGCTATTGTTTTTTTTATTGAAGATATTAATTCAGCAAAATGGATTACATTTAATGTTGTTTCTGATGCTTTTTTTCTTTTTGATATTGTTGTTAATTTTCGAACAGGTTTTATTTTTTATTATTTTTAATTATTTTATTTTATTTTATTGAAATAGGTGTATTAAGAAATGATTATATTGATGAAATAATTCTTGAACCACGTTTAATAGCAATTCATTATATTAAAACTTGGTTTATTATTGATTTACTTAGTTCATTACCAATAGATTATTTATTTTTATTTTTTGATAGTGGATATCATTCAGGTGGTTATACTATAGCTCGAACTGGTAGAGCTATTAAAGTTCTTAGACTTGTTAAATTATTATCATTATTAAGATTACTTAGATTATCACGTCTTGTTAGATATATTCATCAATGGCAAGAAGTAATTTTTTTAAGAAAATAAATAATTATTTATTTTAAACTTTTCTTTTTTTTATTTAGTTTTTATCAATAGCAAGTATGGTTATGCGTATACTTAATTTAATAGCATTAATTATATTATTAGCACATTGGAACGGATGTTTACAATTTATGATACCAATGTTTCAAAATTTTCCATCTGATTGTTGGGTTGCATTAAATGGTCTTCAAAATGCACCATGGACAGAACAATATACAGTTGCTTTATTTAAAGCATTATCACATATGTTATGTATTGGTTATGGACGTTATCCACCTCAATCTTATGTTGATATGTGGTTAACTATGCTTTCAATGAGTATATACGAAAATTTATTCTTTTATTATTTTTTATTCATTTATTTTAGTTATTGGAGCAATGGGTTATGCTGTTACAATAGGACATGTATCAGCACTTGTTCAAAGTTTTGATACATCAAGACGTTTATATAATGAAAAAGTATTTTTTATTTACTTAAAAAATTAATAAAAAAAAAAAAGAAAAAAAAAATATTTATTTTAGTTTAAACAAGTTGAAGAATATATGGCATGGAGAAAATTACCACGAGAAATGCGTAATAGAATATCAGATTATTATGAACATCGTTATCAAGGAAAAATATTTCATGAAGATAATATATTAAATGAACTTTCTGAAAGATTAAGATTGGTTTGTTGTTTTTCTTTCTATAATTAATAATCTATATATATATATATATTTAATTAAATATTATTTATTTAAAAAGGATGTTATTAATTATAATTGTCGTAGTCTTGTATCATCAGTACCTTATTTTGCTAATGCTGATCCAAATTTTGTTTCTGATGTTGTTACAAAATTACATTTTGAAGTATTTCAACCAGGTGATCAAATAATTAATGAAGGGACAATTGGAAATAAAATGTATTTTATTCAAGAAGGTATTGTTGATATAATTAAATCAGATGGACAAGTTTTAACAAGATTATCTGATGGATCTTATTTTGGAGGTTTTGTTTTGTTTTATTTTTATTTTTATTTAAATTTATTTAAACAGCAAAAGAAAAAAATATTATTTATTTTAGAAATATGTTTATTAACACGAGCTAAACGTGTAGCAAGTGTTCGTTGTGTAACATATTGTAATTTATATTCATTAGATTCAAGTCAATTTGAAAGTGTTCTTGAATCATATCCATTAATGAGAAGAACAATGGAATCAGTTGCTGCTGAAAGACTTAATAAATTAGGAAAAAATCCATCAATTATATCAACAAGATATGATTTAAAACATGATGCAGCTGCATTAAAAGATATGATTGATCGTGTAACACCTCAATCATCAAGTGATGAATCTTCTCAAACGGATTCATCATCAATATTATCAAATCAACATAAAAAAAGTGATTTTAAATCATCATTATCATATTTACATGAAGAATTTAAAAAATCATTTATTGAAAAACGTTCAAATAGAAATCGAAGAAAAAATTCTTTAGAAATTAAAAAAATAAAAAATCTTTCAAGAAGTTATTTATCGGTACCAAAGTCGAATTCAATTGAAAATCAAATTAAAAAATCTCTGTCCACACCTTTTTCTTCTTTACATTAAAATATTTTAATCGATTTATTTATTTTTTTTTCATTCTCAATCATATTTATTTTTCTTTTTTTTTATTTAAATAAAATGTATTCCATCTATTCATTTTATTATATATATATATATTAAATGATAAATAGTAGTTTCTTGATATTTTTCTTTTTTTTTTTGTTGTGTACTCAAAAAGTGAGTACACTCTAGAATCGGTCAGTGTGTCCGACCGGCCGGCCGTTTACACGATAAGTTTTGAAAGGAGAGTGGGGTCTTGATGAAATTTTCTACACAGTATTGTCTCATGAATGTCTTGGTCGAGCTCGAGGATGAGAATGATTCGTCGAGCCATTGCTGAGTTATCGCAAAAAAGTGACTTTTCCCTATGCTTTTCTATGCGACTATTCACCTATCTTGGTTTTTGTAAAAGGAGACCTGGCTAAGTCCCCTGGAGTCGGAAACTCAAAGAGTGTGGATAGCGGTGGAAAGTTGCTGTCACATTTCCAGGTAACTGGTAATGGTTTGGTAACCATCTTCCGTCTTCAGCCCCGAACCATAGGGTCCTCAAGTCCTATTTTCGAAAAAAATTTTTGTTTTCTAAAAAATTCTTTTTTCGAAAGAAGTCTGTTTCTGCATAAAAAAAAATTTTCGAAAAAAGTATTTTTTCCAATAATAGGACTTGAGGATCCTATGGTTTGCGGCTAGGGCCGGTAGGTGGTTACCAAACTATTACCAGTCACCTGGAAACGTAACGGGCAATATTCCACCCCTACCCACACGCTTTGAGTTCCCGATCCCAGGGAATTTGGACACTGCTGTCCTCAATTACTTTTTACTTTTTGAAGTACACATAACACTCGGATTTAAATCCGAGGTTTCCACATTTATTTATATTTAGATTAATTGACCAGTTGAATGCTTACTCGAATTTTCATTTCAAAATGTAATTTGGTTTTGTACTTTGAGCAATCGAAATAAGTCACGGTAAGGTAACTAACATTTGTAATAAATTCTTATTTTATATTTAGATTAACTAACGAGACCTATACTAAGTGAATTTTTATTTGAAATTGTTATTCAATTTTCTATTTAGATTAGCTCACCAAACACACTTAAGCTGGTTTTTATTTCTGAATATTATTTGATACTGTATTCAGATCAACCTAAACAAGCAATGTTTAAGTAAGTCATATATTAAATATGATTCTTACTCTATACTTATATACACTAATCAGAGCAATAGTAAGACAAGCTTTCTTTCAAATTCTTATTCATTTTTGTATTTTAGATTAGTCAAAATGATGAATGGTTAGGTAAGTTATATTTCTAATAAGATTCTTGTTTTATAAATAGGCCAAATGGCCATACCAATAATGAGATAAACTTTTTATTTCTAATTGGCGTTCAGTCTTCTATTTAGCTTAGTCGAAATAAACAACGTTTAAGAAAGTCATATTTTATTTTACGATTTTTATTTTATATTTTGATATACTAACCAGTTAAATACTAAGGTAAGCTTTGATTTCTAATTCTCATTTATTTTTGTATTTAGATCAGTCGAAAGAAGTAACGACAAAGTAAGTTACATTTCTAATAAAATCCTTGTGTTATATTTAGATTAAGTAAGCGAAGCAACACTGAGGTATGTTTTCATTTCTAATTGTAATTTGGTCCTGTATTTACATATATCAAAACAAGCGACGCCAATATAAGCTCTATTTAAAGTAAAATTCTATATTTAGATCAACTAATCAGTTGAATACTTATAGGTAATTTTTGATTTCAAATTGTTATTTAGTTTTGTATTTAGATCACTAGAAACAACGAATGGTTAGGTAATATACATTTCAAACATAGTTTTATTTTACATTTAGATCAACTAAACAATCCAATAATCTGACAAGTTATTATTTCAAAGTGTTATTTAATTTTCTATTTAGATCAAGTGAAACCAGCAATGGTTAGGCAAGTTATTTTTCAAATAAGATTCTTATTTTATATTTATATCAACTAATCAAAGAAGTATTTGTATAAGTCTTTATGTTTAACTGTAATTCAATTTTGTATTTAGATCAATCAAAACAAGTAATGACAAGGTATGTTATATTTCAAATATGATTTTATTTTTTATTGAGATCAGCTCAAGGGATCGATGGTGTGGTGCGGTTTCATTTCAAATTGATGTAAAAAGTGTTATTCGGATCTTCAGAAGACGTAGACGAAAAAGTAAGTATCTGTTAAACTATGAATCTGAATTCATATTCAGATAAGTGGAATCATGTACTTGTCTACGATAATTTCAAAAGAATATAAAAATTGTAGTTAGTCTTTTAATGCTTAATAAGTTTGGAGGTGGTCCTCAAATATGAAAGGAGAATGATATGAGATTTGATTCGTGTTGGTGGAATTATTGGCATCCTTACTGTCGTTAGCGATGCCGAGATGCTGTTGATACTTATATAATTGTGCCGTGATTCATATCATGTACGGTTAAGAGGAGTCTATGGAGACGTGTGGGTGTGTTCTGTTATTTTTAATGAAGCGTTCTAATAGTATGGTAACAGTGTGAGAAATCCTATTTTGGCGTTTCCAATAAGGGTTTCGTACAGAACAGGGCTTGTACGAAACCTAAAATGGTTTCGAATTCGTTGCAAATCTCGAAACCCTTTTAGATTCCGTAAGGTGCCTATTTTTTTCCGTGTAGAAGAAACTGACGGTAAAACGCCAGTTTGTTGGTGGTTTTATTCACTATTGTGGTATTCCTGCAATAGTTCAAATAAATAGCTATATCACATGAGTTGTCTTGTATCTTCCTATATTTGAAAACAGCATTGGTGCGGCCGTGACTGCTCGTTCAAGATGTCCATTCATACGACACCTTACTTACCTACACCTACCTATTGTCGTAATTCCGAAGGAATTTCGACGATTGTGGAAAATCGACAAAACTGTCGAACTGCCGGTAGAATTTCGAAAAAT